AAAAAATTGGAACTTGAACTTGAAGGCAAAAGAAAAATCCTTTCCAATTTAATATGTTTTCAATTTAGACATTACGAGAGCATATTGAACAAGTAGCATGATAGACCAGATTGTGTGAAACACCATATCTAGTTTTATACTTAAATTAGTATACTAATTTAGTCTCACCTAGGCAATGTGATTGTGTTTAATTGGGTTAAGACTCAAAGTAAGAATAAAAACAACAATTGTCAAGAAATCTTTTGTCAAATCCCCTTAATGACTTAGCTTTATTGATACTTCAGAGTGAGGAAATAGAGACAGAAGAAATAAACTGCCGTGCAAAAAGCATATAAAAATATAAAAGGAAGACATTTACTACCCATCATTCTCAAGAACACAATGCTTCTAGGTGGAAACAAAATGATTTACAAAACTATCACAAAAAAAATGATCTACAAAATATAGGCCTTAAGTAGCAACTCTGGAAAAGTAAATCGGGAAAAAAGAAAGAGGGAAGAAGAGAAGAAAATATAAATTTAATAAATGAGATCTTTCTTTGCTTACCACAAAAATTATCATTAACACGAGAAGAGAATATAAACTGTGGCCTGCTTCCTAAGTTTCGACAATAAAATTTTCCAGTTGGACAAGCAGATGTTCCTGTAATTGCAAAAACAACATTGTGCTATCAACAATCAAGTAGTAATAACGGTAGGCAAATTTAATAAATTTATAAATATATAAAGGCCTGATTTTTGCTTAACGTGTTTTATATATCTCTGTTTATACATGAAATAGTGAGAAAACTACAATCGCGCCAGCTACCAGCAACAGACAGTGCCTAAATATTACATAATAATAGAAAGTATTAATAATATCAGCCGAAAATTAAGTTAAACAGGAGCACTATAGCAGTCCTGCTGGAGTCGTTCTTGTCAAAATTTAGCTTCACCGGGAAAAAAAATCAGAAGGGAAGAACCAAGCACATTTTGAAGCATCAACGGTAGACAAAAATAGAGAAAACACATGAACTCATGAGGTATTACTTTGGACATAGAAGTAATGAAAGCACAGATTCATGATCTCTGAAATATGAAATCAGACAAAGAACAGCTAATTAGGATTAACACGACCATAAAAGTAAAAGCCATCATTTTCAAAGGCTGCTAGGAAACATGAATAGAATCTTCCATAATCCCCTGATGACCTGAAAAGGCTAAGTTCATATTTCCTTTTATCCACTTCGATAGTACCATAATATTTAATTTGATACCCAATATGCATAACCCATATCCCAAACTTCCACATTTAAGCTATTCTTTCAGGGACTATGACTGGTACCAGGCTCATCAGTGCCATCAGTGCAGTCGCAAAAATTGTCATTGAGACGATCTCTGGGGAAAGATTTGGTTCCGTCCTTGCATTTGATCACTTCCGACCTATAATATTTTTCGTCTGCAACCACATAACCGAATTAAAAGCTTTGACACAAGATTTACAATAATAGCTAAATGTGCCCACCCGCTACTGAAAAGGTTCAAACTTTATTTGTTTCAGGCAAGGAGGGTAGAATCCACATAAAGACAAAGGATATCCAGAGATACCTAGGGATGAACTCCAACGAGAGGAGGGATGAGAGGAGGGGATGAGAAGCAAAAGCTGCAGAAGCTAGGAGGAAACAGGGGCAGATGAAATGGACGAAGCTAGTTGTTCCCATCTGGATATCGGAGGTGTCTGCACTCATATCTCCCAGGCGAGGCAATGTATATTTAGCTGCGTTCGTTGTTGCTGTTGTGTTGACTTGGTCTTCATCTTCAACCTAAACCGAAGCGAACGTCTTCCTGAACAGTGAAAAGTACGAATTATTTATCAGTTATGATTTTTTTTGGTGACATATGATTTTTTCCTTAAGACAAAAAAACTAATCGTAATAATGCTGAGTTTAGAATTTTACAAATAACTTAGGTATTTAAATTTATAATTTTAAAATGTTTATTTTCAGTGTAATTAATATATAAATTTAAGTATCTAAATTTTCTCTAATTGTAAAATGTATAGAAAAATAGCAGTAACTGTTATAAATAATAAACCTATAAATCATCAATATAGGATATGAAAACTAAAAGCGTTAACTTTGCTTTACGCAGTGTAAGTCGTACAAATGCATGAGATTTGCCATCATTTTTCAATTTCCATGCACTCGCTTTGATAGGAAACAGTTTATAAAATTACTCTGAAATTGTTGTTTAAAAATTGCAATCACATAATTTATTGACATGAGATGAAACTTTTGGCCCAAAAAAAGGCATATGATGAAATGTTAATTTATTTTTAATGAATAACTAAATATCATAATACTATAACTTTTTGATAAGTGAAATATTACTTTTTAAAATAAAATAGTGAAATTAAATTAATCAGTGTCTCTCCTTTCAGAAGGGAAAAAAACACCTCATCATATGACAGTAAAAAATTTCAAAATTTATTTGGATATATTTAGACTTTTACATAAAAAATGTTGATCCTTTCAATTTAAAACAATAAAAATTAAAAATTAAAAATTATATCTTATTATTAATTTTGCATTCTTCATTTAAAATCTATAAATTTGGCCCCCGAAAAATTTTCAATCTATAAAAAAAAAATTACGATAAAGAAGTTCTATAAACTCCTTACACTAATAACTAGATTGCATTAGAGGGATTTCTGACCCAAAAAAAAAAAAGAAAAAAGATTGCATTAGAGGGATCAGCCTAAAATTTTAGTCGTATAATTCACAACTCTCGATTAAAGAGCAAATTGACTAAGTTGGTGTCCTGAGATAACTTTGAAGAAATCAAGGACCTCGAAAGATAGGATTCCATATAATCTAATCATTGTATTTAAAGCCATTGTTTTTGGAGCCATTGTCTGGTAATTCAAGTTAATTTCTTCACACACATGATGAATAACTCAACTCAACCTGTTAAAGCCAGCTTTTTATGTGAGCCTGCCAAGCACTTAGAGAGCAAAAGAAGATCCTGAACACAAATTTCAAGAGCTCGAAGAAAGTGTAAAGTGAAAAGGAAAATTGAGGAGAAGAAGAAGAAGGTGAGTGACATTATTAATCTAGGCGTACTAATAAAGTTTAAAATAGAAATTTGTGTATACTATCGACACACAAATTAACTGGGTGAGATTGGAAGTTCTCTTTCAGTTTTCCTGTTCCGTATGAATGATGGCCTGAAATCCAGATCTCCGTTTAGCAGATTAAAAAAAGAAAAAAGGAAGAAAGATAATCTTCACAGTTGCAGTTGGTACTGCATAATATATTACGATGTATTAAAGTATATGTAAATGGTTATTTTATGAGAAAAGCTTTGCTTTGGTGATAAAACACATGATGGATCTCAATAACACCAACCACCAATAAAGTTAGATGAATCCACTAAGCCCCAGATCAAATTAGTGACTGGGAAACGAATGGTTTTCCGGTTATATTCACAGTTTCTGTCATCTTAATTATGACACTGGTTAATTCAAATTGATATGATGCTTAGTGAACCTCCCTTTTAAACCATCAACTCTTTTTTTTCTTGGTTCCTCCTCGTTGTAAATAATGCTTCTTCAATTTTGTTCAGATTCTATTGGTTCTCTTTTGTGCCACCAGTTCTTTGTTGGGCAAGCAATATTTATATTCTAAATACTCATAATTCAGTCTGTGCCTTGTACAATACTTAACCAACTGACACTAGTGCAGCACCAAACGCCTTCTTTCCTCATATAAAAGCAACGGCCTTCCCCTTAAAGAAACAGAAAGCCAAAGGCAATAATGGTAAAGATTAAAGACACAAACTAAAGTTGGTGCTTTGGGGCTCATCTTATTAAATGCTACCCATCCTCCCCCTCCATTCCTATTCAAATTCAAACTAACCCCTCTCTCTTTCTTTCTTTCTAAATATCCCCCCTCCCCTCTCCTTTTCGTAGTTCTACTTCAAAACTTTCAAGTGAAAGTGATATTCTTCTGGTCATGGGAGCAGCAAAACAGTAAAGTAAGGTGCAGAAAACAGAGGATTCTAGAAATGAACACAGCAAGGTTTATCAAGTGTGTCACTGTTGGGGATGGAGCTGTCGGAAAGACCTGCATGCTCATTTCCTACACCAGCAACACTTTCCCTACGGTATGACGCTCCATTGTTTGAGATTGTTTTGTCAATTTAGTTGAATGTTTTGTCTGATAAAAAGGACATTTTCTCCTTGGAAAGGACTACGTACCAACAGTTTTTGACAACTTCAGTGCAAATGTGGTGGTTGATGGCAGCACAGTTAACCTGGGATTATGGGACACTGCCGGTAAGTTAGCATAATTTAAGTAAGGTGGGTAATCGTGGGATTTAGCACACTTTCATGATCTAAATTTGCTTGATTGGTGCAGGGCAAGAGGATTATAACAGGCTTAGGCCTTTGAGCTACAGAGGAGCAGATGTGTTTTTGCTTGCCTTCTCTCTCATCAGCAGAGCCAGCTATGAGAACATCGCCAAAAAGGTTCTCCTCAAATGCACCAAACACAGCATTTTTCCAGAAAACAGAATCTGACACTGGGTTTTGTTTTGCAGTGGATTCCTGAACTGAGACATTATGCCCCAAATGTGCCAGTTATACTTGTGGGAACCAAGCTCGGTATTTTCAGCTAAAATTATAATTTACTGAAACTTGTATCAGTTTAAAGCTGCAAATTTGTGATCTGAAGTAGTAATGCAACTATACATGGTGGTAATTACTGCAGATTTGCGGGAAGACAGGCAGTACTTGATCGATCATCCTGGTGCTAAGCCCATAACTACTGCCCAGGCAAGTTCCTCCAAATTTTTTAAGGCTAACACAGTTTTTCTTCTAGGAGTATGAATAAAGTTTCTCTTAATTTCACAAATAAATCTTGTGTAATCTTTCAACAGGGAGAAGAACTGAAGAAGGCCATCGGTGCTGCTTCATACATAGAGTGCAGCGCAAAAACTCAGCAGGTTCATTTTTTCTTCTTTTTTCCATTCACTCATATCTCTAAATTTCTACAGAACTCTCTTTCTTATCATGAGTTTTTACAGTTCATTAGCATGATTATTAGTAATAAATTAAGGATTCAATGTGTGACAAAATGATAACAAAGATTAAGATGACTGATCTTAAGAAAGCTGGCATCAACTTGAACTAGAAACTTGGTAGTAAACTAAGAATTTTGCTGGAGCTTGATAGTGTGTATTTGCCCTAATATTCAGAATGTGAAGGCCGTGTTTGATGCTGCAATCAAGGTTGTGCTCCAGCCACCTAAGACAAGGAAAAGGAGAAAGAAGACCAGACCCTGTGTAGTCCTATGATTAGTGTTATTTTTTTCCCCCCGGTTCTGATCTTGTGATAATTTACAGCCTTCCAAGTTTTTTTCATCTGTTCAGATTGCCATCCTTGAACATGTGTACTTGTTCGTCTTTGTAATGCGGTCCTACTTCATGTTCTAAATGTATCTCCTGGATACAAGCATTGTTATTCAATATAATGATCAAATTAATTCTGCCTACTGTTTAATATAAGAACTAGTTTGATTTTTAATTTGATTCTAAATATAAGATCTCAGTTTACTTTATCTCTCATATTATCCATTTTTTCAAGAAAGTTCTTATAGTAGTTGTACATATTAAATGTTTCATCAAATGATAAAGATAACTAATACATATAATTAGTAAGGATATTTTAAGAAAGATAACAGCTACTTATTGCAAATAACTGACTTAACTAATTTTTTTAATCTACTCGTCAACTTTTATATTAAGAATTAGAGGTGGTATATCAGATATGACAAAAAAATATTGACTGCATTGTCCTCAATTTAGTTTGGCTGTTGGGACGATCCATTTTCGTTCAATGTGCTCATAGGGTCCTATATAACTAATATTGCATTTGTTGACCTCGGTTGTATAACCAGTTATAATGTCCTTCGTTTATATCTAGATCGTACTAAATATAACAAGACAAAAATATTTGTATCTTATTTCAAACATATTAGATAATATTTTAAATAATAAATTTCCAATCCTTATAACTTACAATTTAAAGACAAATTCCATCAAACTTGTTTTCATTTCAATTCACTGATTCACGCCTAAATTATGCTTGCAAAGTTACAGCTAAATAACCCCTTACAAAAATTTTGAGTTTAAAATAAAATATAAAAATAGGTTCTCTTGAGGCCATATGGAGCAAAGTAGTGGAGGAATGCTAGAATGGAATTGAGTTTAAAATATAAATATAACTATTTATGTATCGTGAACAACACACTTTAATCATTTATGACGATCTCTCCGAACAAGCACAGACTTATCGACAAATATCTTTTCTATTACGAAGACTATGGGGTCGCAAAGCTTATCCGGGAGATGTTTTTTATTTACATTCACGCTATTTGGAAAGAACCGCTAAATCAAGTTATCAGTTAAGTGAAGGAAGTATGACTGCTTTACCTATAGTTGAGACCCACGGGAGATTTTTCAACTTATATTCTTACTAATGTAATTTTCATTATAGATGGCTAAATATTCTTATCCGCCGATCTATTCAATGCTGGAATCAGACCTGTGATTAATTTGGATATTTCTGTCTCCAGAGTAGGATCTACAGCTCGAATTAAAGCCATGAAACAAGTAGCTGGTAAATTAAAATTAGAATTGGCCCAATTCGCAGAATTAGAAGCTTTTGTACAATTCGCTTTTGATCTCGATAAAACCACTCAAAATCAATTGACAAGAGTTCGATGGTTGTGTAAGTTGCTCAAACAATCCCAATCAACCCCTCTCATTGTGAAAGAACAGATAATAACTATTTTTACCGGAATGAATGGTTACCTTGATTCATTAGACTTTTGATGGGTTCAGCTCGTTTGCGAAAAAGACAAAGGAAAAAAAGAATCATATAGCATATGTCCGACGTGGCTTGGATTATATTGAACCAAAACAAAATTTTCGGATATCCATGCTTTTTGGGGGAAACTTCCCAAAAAAAAAAATCCTGTTTGACTTTGATGCGTCGACGTAACTACTAGCTAGGCTAGCTATAGGAACATGGGCAGAAGCCGGTTCTCCGCTGGGCGCGAAAAGAACAATGACAGTTATGCACATGATCATCATATTTTACATAACATATGATAGGAAGTCGCACACCAAATGAACGCTCCCCGATCCTTCCCCCGCCTTCTTCTTGAAGTCTCATTTTTCAGAAATTGTTAACGTATCACTGCTCTGTTTGACTTCTTCGTTTTTCTTCAAACTTCATAGCTTAGTTTCTTCGTTTTCCGATGGACCGTGCTTCATGGCGAACCCAGGTCCTTTCCAAGCACCTCCTTCACTCTTCTTCACCGGCGATTCTCCAACCCAACGCTTGCCTCCATTATTCTCCGCCGGAACTCTCCGCGCCCTTCGCTTTCGACATCAAAGAGATGCGGAACCTCATGGACGGTCACAACTTGGAGGATCGGGATTGGTTGTATGGTTTGATAATGCATAGCAACCTCTTCAACCCAAGGACAACGGGGGGAAGGGTATTCGTCTCGCCCGATTTTAACAAGTCCATGAAACAGCAAAGAGAGATGACTATGAGGCGCATTAAGTATCTATTGGATCGTGGGGTCTTCCGAGGTTGGCTTACTGGTACAGGGCCTGAGTTCGAATTGAGGAGATTTGCGCTCCACGAGGCTCTTGGGATGTATGACCATTCCATCTCCGTTAAGCTTGGTGCTCATTTTTTCTTGTGGTATGTTTTTTTTTTCTTAGTTGTATTCTTCTTTCTTTTTTTTTTAAAAAAATTTAACAGGCGTTTTTATCAAAATATTGTAAACAGTAAAAATAATTATCTGAATACTATGCTGTGGGAACTATTTATCAATATGCTGCATTTATGAGAAATCGGTTAAGCCGTAATGAATTTCTACTCTGACATTTATATTTTAAAAATAAAATAGAGAAACATTCTGGTCCAAAAAAAAAATAGAGAAACTCATTCGCCTCTTATGAATTTTCAATCTGATAATTTTCTTTCATTTAAAAAAAAAATTACAACTAAATACCCCATTTCACTAGATACTGCCCCGCCTCCCTCTGCCTTGTGAATTTTAGAGACAATTTTTGTTTACCAGCAGAATTTTAGAGACAATTACAGTTAATTACCTCCATCCCTTCCCATTTTCCCTCTACTCTATATCTCTTTCTAAATGAAAACATATGATTAGATTTTCTAAGAAAATTGCTTTTTTATCTTGATACTTAAATTTAGAGAAAATATTTATAGATCTTTTCCAATATATTCAAAATCGTTCTAGTAGTAAAAATAATAATAATAATAAATTTTTAAAAATATTTTTTGAGAAAAAGAAGGATTCAAGGATAAAATTTGAACAGCTGAATGAAAAATATGGGAAGTAAATTTTATTTTTATGTAACTAAAATAATGATTAAGAAATTAAAATTAAGAAATATCACTTAAAAAGTTCATAGTTTTTCATGTTTGTTTATCAAATTATTTTAAGTAATTCTGTGCATTTAAAGTTTTTAATATTTTAGCTATTTCATAAATGTAGAAAGTTATTAATTTTTTTCCTCTATAATATCCTTGATTTAGAGTAATTATAATAAAGATAGAAATTGACAAGGGCATATTTTATAATTAAATAGGTGTAGATTTTGAATATATTAGAAAAGATCTATAAATATTTTATATTTATTTAAATATTTTTCTCTAGATTTAAGTATCAAAATAAAAAATAATTTTTCTACAAAATCTACTCATGTTTTTATTTAGAAAGAGATGTAGAGTAGGGGGAAAATAGGAAGGGATGGGGTTATTAACTGAAATTTTCTCTAAAATTCAAAAAGCAGGGGAAGGCGATTTAGCTATAATCTTTGCTGAACATGAAAGAACATTGTCCGATTGAAAGTTCATTAGAGGGTCATTGAGTTACTTCTTTTTATTTTAAAAATATAGATGTCAAAATGGAAATTCATCATGACTTAAACGATTTCTAAAAAATGCAGCATATTGATAAATAGTTTCTATAGTATAGTATTTGGATAATTATTTTTACTATTTACAGTATTTTGATAAAAATGCCAATTTAACATGGATAAGCATTATGTTTTCGTTTCAAGGAGGGGTTTGAAGGGTGAGAAAAGTTGTTTGCATTGTCCTTGTAAATAAGAAAGAAGTTCACAGTTTGAGACATATGACATGCTGTTCTTACCCTTTTGTGAAAGACCACATATGTTGCTAGGAAAAGAAGAAATTATTTGCGTTTCCTAAATGTCAAATGTAACGAATGATCTAAGTTCTAGCATCTCTGATGTATAATGGATTTCAGGGGTGGAGGCATACGGTTGCTGGGAACCAAGCGCCATCACGACAAATGGTTGAGAGACACAGAAAATTATAAGATCGAGGGTTGTTTTGCTATGACCGAACTGGGCCATGGAAGTAATGTACGTGAAGGTTGCTTGATAAGGCTCGGGTATTTGGGTCCATGTGTCGCTCATTGTGGTTTGCTTTATCAGTTTTAACAATTCTTTCCACACTAATGTTTACAGGTTCGAGGAATTGAAACAGTGACTACCTATGATTCAAGCACTGGAGATTTTGTCGTTAATACTCCATGTGAATCAGCGCAGAAGTATTGGATTGGTGGTGCGGGAAAAGTGAGAATGCTTTAACATCATTCTTTTATAACCATTTTAGGATTCTATGTGTCATAAGATTGCTTTAGGATTAAATATTAATCCTTTTGTTTATATTCAGCATGCGACACACGCCATTGTCTTTTCGCAACTCAACATTAATGAAAGCAATCAAGGTGTCCATGCATTTATAGTTCAAATCAGGCACTCAGATGGAAACACATGTCCAAATATCAGAATAGCTGATTGTGGTCATAAAATCGGTTTAAATGGAGTTGATAACGGTCGTATATGGTAATAATCACTCTTTTTGTTTTTTACAGAGTCTATCTATGTACTCCTCCGGTTTTAAATATAAGACCCTTATACTACTGTATATAAAGGTCTTATATTTAGGACCGGAGGAGTAATTTTTATTTTAAAAATGTTAACCTCAGATGTTCTGGACACTTATATTTAGGTTTGACAACGTGAGAATACCCAGAGAGAATCTGTTGAATTCAGTGGCCGATGTTTCACCAAATGGCAAATACTTGAGTGCAATAAAGGATCCCGATCAGGTGATTATTTCATTGGAAGGATATTATCCTCTTCGGTCAGCTTGCATTTTTCTTCTCTCCATCAGTAATCCTTGCGAAATATCTTGTATTGAATGTCATTCTTGCTCCAGAGGTTTGCAGCATTCTTGGCTCCGTTGACTTCTAGCCGTGTGACTATTGCTGTCGGTGCCGTTTATACGTCCAAGGTAATGTACTTTGTGCCTTTGTTATGTCTTGAGCATCTGATCATGTTCCTACCAATCTTCAACATGTTACATTGTCGTATCAATTATTTGCTGCCAGATTAGCCTAGCCATTGCTATACGATATGCATTGACAAGGCGGGCCTTTTCTATTACACCGAATGGGCCTGAAGTTCTGCTGCTTGATTACCCAATTCATCAACAGCGTTTAATGCCTCTACTTGCAAAAGTGTAAGTTGTCCAATGACAGACATTATAATTTTAAAATAATGTATGTAGAAGGTCACTAGGCTGCTTCAACCATTGACAGATGCACAGCGGCCTAAGATGATGTTCATTTCCATCCTCTGTTCTGCAGATATGCAATGAGCTTTGCTGCAAATGACTTAAAAATAATGTATGTGAAAAGGACTCCTGAGTCAAATAAAACCATTCATGTTGTTTCTAGCGCTTACAAGGCTACTTTTCCATGGACTAATATGCGAATTCTTCAGGTAAGTATAGACATTATAGTAGGCTTGATATATTATTTGTTATTGACCTCATAAAATTTCTATTTTTGCAAAAACCAGGAATGTCGTGAAGCCTGTGGTGGACAAGGTTATAAAACTGAAAATCGTGTTGGTCATTTGAAGGGTGAATATGATGCGCAGTTAACTTTTGATGGGGACAACCATGTTCTGATGCAGCAGGTTCGATGCAGTATACTGATGATTATGATGTATTATAGCTATAAGCCCCATTTTTTCCAGCCGAGAAGTTACTTGTCTGTCCGGTGGCAAAGTAATAAATGAATTCTGGCAGCGAGGGTTTCCTATCCTACTTTACTGCTCGTTAGCGACAAAATATATTCTTAGGCTGACGTAATAGTCTAAACTACTAGGACTTTTGTTGTATTAACATTGGTGAATTCATTTCATATATCCTTAAGTTTTACCGCTTGGCTAGTTTAGCTGGGATATCTTGAGCTTCTATGTTGGCACCACTTGAGTTGCATGAGATTACTCATGCTAATTTTAAGCTTCCTTTCTTGCTTTTTTCTTTGTTCTATATGATGTATAAAATTCATGGGTGTATATTTTGACTCAGGTGAGCAAAGCACTTCTTGCGGAATACATGGCAAATCAGAAGAAAAACAAGCCATTTGCAGGTTTGGGATTAGAGTACATGAACAAACGTCAGTCTGCTATCCCATCACTGCTAACAAGTTCTACCATCAGGAGCAGCCAATCTCAGGTGATTTCATTGAACCTTCTCAATTTGGAGTAATCAGGTTGAAATTTACTACCTGACCCTATTATTTTTTGGTATATTGCTCACCTCTAATTTTCACAGATTGACATATTCCGTCTAAGAGAGCGAGATCTCTTGAGTCGTTTTGCTGCAGAGGTGTCAGAATATCAAGCTAAGGGAGAAAATGCACATTCTGCCTTCATTCAGGTAAGGATTCTTCCCTATTTTGTCAATTACCCTTCATCCGTTCCCTGTCTTATATTTTGAATCTCTTAATTGTTCCAGAGTTTTCAGCTTGCTGACGACCTGGGTAGAGCTTTCTCAGAACGAGCAGTACTGCAAACCTTCATGGATGCTGAATCTACTTTACCCGCTGGTTCCTTGAAGGTAAATCTCGATTTTTTCCCCCCCTTCATTTGACATGCGTGCTATAAAATGCAGCTAGGTTTTTTGGATACTGAGTTCAACAGGTTAAACAGGCTCATCTACTCATATTTGCATTTGTTTAACCGGCAGAACATATTAGGGCTTTTGAGATCCTTGTATGCTTTGATTTGCTTGGATGAAGATGCTTCCTTCCTCCGATATGGATACTTGTCAAGAGATGAAGCTATTGCAGTGAGGAAAGAAGTGACAAAACTCTCTTCTGAACTTCGACCTCATGCACTGGCCCTTGTCAGTTCCTTTGGTATCCCTAATGCTTTTCTGAGCCCCATTGCGTATGACTGGATCGACTCAAATTCGTGGGCTTCTGTTGAACATTAATTGCTGATGCAAAATTTCGGTGCTTAAGATGTTGTCATTGGTAGTGTGTTAACTAGATACATTTTCCCGTGTAATATATGGAGTGTGAAGAATAAGTTTTAACACAACTTGTTACAATTTAGCTTGTATGTAATAGCAGTTTGATAAATAAAACTGCCATCAGCAAGGGATTGTGTTGTTTAATGGTCTGTGGATAACGTAAACAGGAATATATGTATGAGTTGTGTGAGCTTCTACAAGCCATAAGCAGTTTATTTTGAGGAGAAGCCCAAGTTCAAAAATTTGGATTGTTTGGCACAATTTGTGAGCTACCGTGTTTGAAGGAAATGCACAATTGAAAATAAGTTGAGAGAATGAGCTTTTTAGAAGAAGTAGCTTATGGACCATGACGCTCATGAAAAGGCTACTGATGCTCACGTGAAGACTTCTGCTATTCTTGTCATTTTTCTTGTCTTGATATCTTTCATTGTTTTATCTTGAATCATAGTTTGAGACCTCGAGTGGTATTTTTCATTTCTAATTTAAGACTTGAGTTCATTTTAATTTAATTGGTTTTTATCATAATTTCTTTAATTTTTATTTGTTAGATTTATTTTTGAATATGAATTATGCGTGTCTCACTTTATATTTACAATAACTTTTTATGATTTTTTTTAAAGTTTTAAAATTTAATTCACCTATTAAATTTCACTTCTTCATATTAAATTAATTTAAATTCATTGTATTATGTAAATTTATTTTTTTAATCATGTTTCATTATTTATTAAAATTCATATCTATTTTGATAATTTTACAAACAAACTTATTTTTATTCAATCATAGTTCAAACAACATTTTATCTAATCTAATTTTTACAAACTAATTTTTTTAAACTCCAATTCAAATACAATTACCTAGTTTAAATTTTACTTAATTTTACTTTTCTAAAAATTAGATTAGAAATAAACTATTTTTTCTACGACCAATCCAGACGGATCGTGCATTTATTCTTTATAACTGGCGATGATTAGTGTTACTGTATTTGGCCAAAAAAGAGTTGCTGTTTCAGAATGTATATGATAAAGTTTCTCCTTACTGTCTTTCGCCAATTTCACAAATCCTGATTAACTACGTGAGCGTAGTTGAATTGAATCTACCCGTCAAACTCATTAACTTCGTTGGCCCCGGAAAACTTAAAAACCCAAAAAAAAAAAAGCCTCTTTAACTCTTTTTTTTTTTAATTAATTCCAAAAGCTATTTTACTTGATGTCAATGACTAGTTGTTCCAATAATAATGTTACTTACAACATTTGGATAAGGTTCTGAATTAAAACTCGGTGTTGATGTGTTTGTGTGTGAATGCATTTAATTATATTATATAAAAAAACCTTTTTTTGGCCAAAATTATATTAAAAAAAACTTGAACACTATTGTTTTGACTTTATTAGAGCACCGATGGGAAGAAAGATAGATGCAGCGGCCTAAACGAAAAATCATCGAGTTTATTTTCCCTTTTGCAAGCTGCGTACCGGCCGCATCAATATGCTTTTATAATTTTTTTTTTTTTGGTGGCACGTACCAAAATGCCTTTATGCGCGTTCCGTCCAAATAAGTTCAATTTAATGAAAATAGAGTGAATCAGATAACCTTGTAAATTGCATACTTTCATTAAATGAATTCTCCCTTGCTTCGTATTAATATTATCATCTTTACTACTCCTCCGGTTCTTAATATAGGACTCAATTATTGATTAGTTTTGTTCCTAAATATAAGGCATATTTATCATATTTATTAATTTTCTCTAAATTATCCCTATGAATACTCTCTCAACCATAATCAAGTAGAAGAGGAAGAGAGGGTATTAAGAAAGATGATTATGGTATTTTAGGAAAAACGTGTCACATTTCTTATAATTAACTAACTTACCTAACTTCCTTAATCTAATCAAATTAGTTAAATGGGTCTTATATTAAGGATTGGAGGAGTATTATTTTTTCATTAACACCTTATTCCATTTAAAAAAAAAAGTAACGTAGTGTAAAACTTGTAAGGTTCGAAGTAAATAGCCCATTACAAGCGTTTTAAGTTACAACTAAATGATAATTATATAAAATTAGACCGGACTGTATTTTAAGTTATCCCTCACATCCAAATTATTCTCACTGAGTTAGAACTAAATAAATAACCCCTTACAGGTATTTGAAGTTTAAAATAAAATATCAAAATAGGTTTAAAGGTGGAATGGGACATCAGTTGGGGGCTTCTCTTCAAAATGGATCGAGCACTGCAATTGTAAACTGTTAGATTAAATTCGTTAATTTAGATTGGAAAGTTTCTTGATATTTAAATCAATCTGCGTAATTAAAATTTAATTTAAATCGTTCCTTTTTTTTTTTTTGGGGCTGCGATGAAGGCACGGTGGGGGGCAAAATCAGGGCCGAATAGCCCAAAGCCAGTTTTTTTTTTTAATTGGCTTTTTTTTTTTCACCTAAAATCCGGTTCGACGGGGTTAGGTAGGGACGAAAGTCGGTTCTTAATTTCGCGCGAACAAGCTATAGGGGCATGATTATCCTTCCCCGCCTTCTTCTTAGAAGTCTCAATTTTGAGATACTACCATTGTTAACGTCACATTATCTCTGTTTGACCTCTTGGTTTCGCCTTCATAGCTTAGTTTCTTCGTTTTCCGATGGATCGTGCTTCATGGCGAACCCAGGTCCTTTCCAAGCACCTCCTTCACTCTTCTTCGCCGGCGATTCTCCAACCCAACGCTTGCCTCCATTATTCTCCGCCGGAACTCTCCGCGCCCTTTGCTTTCGACATCAAAGAGATGCGGAACCTCATGGACGGTCACAATTTGGAGGATCGGGATTGGTTGTTTGGTTTGATAATGCATAGCAACCTTTTCAACCCCAGGAGGTTGGGGGGAAGGGTCTTCGTCTCGCCCGATTTTAACCAGTCCATGGAGCAGCAAAGGGAGATGACTATGAGACGCATTGAGTATCTATTGGATCGAGGGGTCTTCCAAGGTTGGCTTACCGGTACAGGGCCTGAGTTCGAATTGAAGAGATTTGCGCTCCACGAGGTTCTTGGGATGTATGACCACTCCATCGCCATTAAGCTCGGTGTCCATTTCTTCTTGTGGTATGCTTATCATTTTCTCAGTTGTATGCCTTTTTCTTTCTTTAACATCGGTGAGCATTTTGTTTTTGTTTTTTTCTTTTAAGGAGGGGTTCGGAGGGTGAGGAAAGTTGTTTATATTGTCCTTGTAAATAAGAAAGAAGTTCATAGGTTTTGAGGCATATGATATATGTTGTTTTTCCCCTTTTGTGAAAGACCACATATGTTGCTAGGAAAAGAAGAAAGGAAGAAATTATTTTGCATTTCTTAAAATTGTCGAATGTAATGGATGATCTAACTGCTAGTGTCTCTGATGTATTAATGGATTTCAGGGGTGGAGCCATACGGTTTCTGGGAACGAAGCGCCATCATGACAAGTGGTTGAGAGACACTGAAAATTATATGATCAAGGGTTGTTTCGCTATGACTGAGCTGGGCCATGGAAGTAATGTAGGTGAAGGTTGCTTGATAAGGCTTGGGTATTAGGGCCCATGTGTAGCTTATTATGGTTTGCCTAGTCAGTTTTAATAATTTTTTCCATACTAATGTTTATAGGTCCGGGGAATTGAAACAGTTGCTACCTATGATTCAAGCACTGGAGAGTTTGTCATTAATACTCCATGTGAATCAGCTCAGAAGTATTGGATCGGGGGTGCGGGAAAAGTGAGAGTGTTTTTACATCAATTTTTTTTATGGTTATTTCAGGAATCTATGCGTCATAACATTGTTTTATGATTGATATTTTTCCTTTTGTTTGTACTCAGCATGCAACACACACCATAGTCTTTTCGCAACTCAACGTTAATGGAAACAATCAAGGTGTCCATGCGTTTATTGCCCAAATTAGGGACTCAGATGGAAACACATGTCCAAATATCAGAATAGCTGATTGTGGTCATAAAATTGGTTTAAATGGAGTGGATAATGGTCGTATATGGTAATAATTACTCCTTTTATCTTTTACAAGGTCTATCTAAGTAATGTTTATTTTAAAAATGTTAACCTCAGATGTTCTGGACATTTATATTTAGGTTTGACAACGTGAGAATACCCAGAGAGAATCTGTTGAATTCAGTGGCTGATGTTTCGCCAAATGGCCAATATTTGAGTACAATAAAGGATCCCGATCAGGTGACTATTTTATTGGAGGGATAATGTCCTCTTTGGTCTGCTTGTATTTTTCTTCTCTTCATCAGTAACCGTTGGTAAATGTTTGAATGTCATTCTTGTTCCAGAGGTTTGCAGCATTCTTGGCTCCTTTGACTTTTGGACGTGTAACTATTGCTGTCAGTGCTGTTTACACGTCCAAGGTAATGTACTTGTGCCTTTATTATGCCTTGGGCATCTGATCATGTTCCTACCAATTTTCAACACCTTACATTGTCAGATCAATTATCTGCTGCCAGATTAGCTTAGCCATTGCCATACGATATGCACTGACAAGGCGGGCCTTCTCTATTACACCAACTGGGCCTGAAGTTCTACTGCTTGATTACCCTATTCATCAGCAGCGTTTAATGCCTTTACTTGCAATAGTGTAAGTTCTCCAGTGACAGAGATTTTTATTTTATTGAATTCCTTCAGTGAGCAACATTTAGTCAGGAATAATTTGAGGGGCCATTTCTTACTGTTCTCTGATTTTCTGACTTGTGATGTAACATACACCATTTAAGAGTAAATCAGTCGGCAACATGAGGGCCCCAAGCTCTTTTGGCTTTTGCTTTCCTTTGAAAATTTAGAGGAATGTCAATCTAATTTAATATAGTTATTGTTTTCAGGTGTTTGCTAAATTGTTTCTGTTACTATTAGGCAGATACTGGTTGTTATGCAAGGACCCAAGGATATAAGTGTGCTATGAAATGAGAAAACTTGAATGGCACGAAATTGCTTCTTGCCTGATACAATTGATGATTCATTCCAAGATGTAAATTTAAGATAGGACTTGTGACTTTGTTGTCAATATTAAGGCATGAAAAATAGCTAGGGAGGTCCATAGGTTCTTTTGATGAGGCTGCATATTTATTTTATTCAATTTTTGCTTTCAGGCACCATATACTTAGTTATGCCATTAAGATCTGTCTCAATTATGTTAGACCACCCGGAGATTTTTTTTCCTTAAAGGTTTGCAGAGAACATTTTATGAAATTTTGAATGAATAATGAAGGGATAGGTGCATGTTTCTTCAACTCAATGACGAACCACCATATTGAATGAATTATAAGCATGGAATGTATTAGGCAGCAAAGTGTATTAATGTTGGACTTTGCCTTCACGGCATACAGATGCAGATGCATTGCTGTTTTTTCGTTCTATTTCCTCTATGTTACCAATTTTCCCCGACTCTGTGAACATGGTACAAGGTCACTATGCGGGTTAAACCATTGACATATGCATAATGGCCCAAGATGGTACCTGCCGATGGTCATTTCCATCCTCTGTTGTGCAGATATGCAATGAGTTTGGCGGCAAATGACTTAAAAATGATGTATGTGAAAAGGACACCTGAGTCAAACAAAACCATTCACGTTGTTTCTAGTGCGTACAAGGCTACTTTTACATGGAATAATATGCGAATTCTTCAGGTATGCATAGAAATTATGGTTAGGTTGATAAATTATTTGTTATTGACCTCACAAAAGTTTTGTTTATGCACAAACCAGGAATGTCGTGAAGCCTGCGGTGGACAAGGTTATAAAACTGAAAATCGTGTTGGTCATTTGAAGGGTGAATATGATGTGCAGTCAACTTTTGAGGGGGATAACCATGTTCTGATGCAGCAGGTACGATGCAGTATACTGTTGATTGTGATGTATGATACTTAAGCGCAACTTTTTCTAGCCTAGAAGTTATTTGTTGTGCTGGTGCAAAGTAGTGAGGGCTTCCTATCCTACTTTACTACCCATCAGAGACGAAATATATTCTTAGGCTGACCTAATTATCTGAACTCTTAGGTCTTTATGGTATATTGACAGAAATGAATTCATTTTATATGTCCTTGAATTTTATTGTCCAGTTTACCCAGGATATTTAGAATTTCTTGGAATTTGAGATTCGCGAACCTTGTTAGGCAGTTAGGGCTTCTGTGATGGCACCATTTGAGTTACATGAGATTATTCATGCTAGTTTCTTTGTCTTCTTTTTCTGTGTTCTATATGATGTATAAAATTCATGGTTGCTATATTTTGACTCAGGTGAGCAAAGCACTTCTTGCAGAATACAGAGCAAATCAGAAGAAAAACAAGCCATTTGCGGGTTTGGGATTAGAATACATGAACAAACCTCAGCCTACTATCCCCTCACTGCTAACAAGTTCTACCATCAGGAGCAGCCAATCTCAGGTGATTTCATTGGACCTTCTCAATTTGGAGTGATCAGGTTGAAATCTACTACCTGCCTCTATTATTTTTTGGTACATTGCTTACCTCTTATTTACACAGATTGACATATTCCATTCAAGAGAGCGAGATCTCTTGAGTCGTTTTGCTGCAGAGGTGTCAGAATATCAAGCTAAGGGAGAAAGTGCAGAGTCTGCCTTCATTCAAGTAAGGATTCCTCCCTGTTTTGTCAACCACCCTTCATCCATTCCCTGTCTTATAGTTTGAATCTGTTTACTGTACCAGAGTTTTCAGCTTGCTGAGGACTTGGGTAGAGCTTTCTCAGAACGAGCGGTACTGCAAACCTTCATGGACGCTGAATCTACTTTACCCGCTGGTTCCCTGAAGGTAAAACTCCGAGTTTTCCCCCCTTCATTTAACTGCGTGCTATAAAATGCGGCTGGGATTTTTGGATACTGAGCTCAAGAGGTTAAGCAGGCCCATGTACTCATGTTTGCTTGTGTTTAATCTGCAGAATATCTTCGGGCTTTTGAGATCCTTGTATGCTTTGACTTGCTTGGATGAAGATGCTTCCTTCCTCCGATCTGGATACTTGTCAAGAGATGAAGCTGTTGAAGTGAGGAAAGAAGTGACAAAACTATCTTCTGAACTCAGACCCCACGCACTAGCCCTGGTCAGTTCCTTTGGTATTCCTGATGCTTTTTTGAGCCCTATTGCTTATGACTGGATCGACTCAAATGCTTGGGCCTCTGTTGAACATTAACTGCTGGTGCAAAATTTCTGTGCTTATGATGTTGTATTTAGTATTTTGTGTCAACTAGACACATTTTCCCATGTAATGTATGGAGTTATATATTCATAATTATGAATAACGCAACTTGTTACAAATTTGTAATATATCCAACTGATCCTATTTATAAGGTACTTCCAGCATATTTCACACATACCAGGAAAAATCTTAAAATGCATTAACTTTTTATTAAAATATTATAATTTTTTAACTTTACCCATATTTAATATATACACCTTTTAAAAGAGATAACTGCCTACACTATAATAAATGAAGGACAAAATAGTACATTCACACTGAAAATTTAATTAAATGACTTATGAATAGAAGGGGGAAAAAAAACATTCTCTTTCTGTGTTATAAATAGGACTAGAGGAGTATATGGATATGTTGATATGGAAGTGTAACATTTTAACGTTTATGCTTTACGCAATAGCAATTGGATTAATAAAGCTACCGTCAACAAGAGATTTTAATGTTTATGGTCTGTTTGTAACATAAGCAGGATTATGTTGATGAAGTGTATTTATTCGTTATAACTGACGATTATTATGAAGTGGTACTGGTTTTGGAAGTATATGATAAAATTTATCTGTTTTTTTAGTTATTACGATTAGAGGCTGTTTTGCCTGTAACTGTGTTATGAAGTGTATTTTGTGCGTTTGGAACCCCCCCCTCCCCCAAGTATACTCTCCCTTTATTTTTATTTTTTTTAAAGGAAAAAGAAGTTTAGTAAGAAGATCACTTTTCAGTTTATAACCAACACGAAAAAGAATTCGTATATTTTATTCAAGCCCGACGTGCACTATTACGCAAGACGCATCCGACGAATATTTACGAGCAACCTTATGCATAACCCTCGTCTTAACGTAATTGAAACTGTGGAAGGTTTCTCGTCACGTCTACACAAACCTGAATTTACCGTCAGGTCTTTTGAACCCAACATCCATGATTGGCTTGAGCTTTTGTATTCAAGCTTGATTCTATTTCTAAGCCTTGAAAGCATATCCCCTCAAATTATCACATCGCTGCGAATTTGACCATCTTTACGTAGTGTATGCCACATTGATAACCAAGAGGCCGAAGTACTTGTATTTGCAAAGCTGTGAGAACTCCGGTGGATAATGACGACGTGAATTAAATTACGTGATTTTGAATGTAAGTGCTTATGTTTTATGTTTGTAATTGTTGGTATAAGATAATTTATATTAAACGCAAAATAATAGCATATTACATTCAACCTTGCCTGCTTTATACTTTAAAATTACAATAAGATCTGTGCTTTATGTGCTCATGCTTTCTGATTTCTACTTTCAGCCGGCGCTGCGTGATATATTTAGAGGGTGTTTGGATATAATCCCAAACCATGGTTTGGAGACCCAAACCAAGGTTTATCCCTAAAAACATCCAAACACCCCTCAGTTTTTTGAAACCATGGTTTTGTCATGAAACTATGGTTTGCCCATCAAAACTGTGGTTTTGTGATAAGTCAAAATTTTTCGCTTTTGGAATGAAAGATGGACGTTGTCAGTGAGGAGCCCCATCATTTCACACCTCACATTTCTCCTTCTTTCTCCTCCCTAATTCTTTTTGCCTTTTGACCGGTCCTTCTGCTTTTAAAATAATATTTTTCTGTTGAATTTTTTTTATTTTTTTAAAAACATTTATTCTTATATTTTATAAATATATGTAAAATTATTAACAATTAATTAATACACATATTAACAATTAATTAATATATTATTAATTATGTTGGTAAAAAATATATTAATAATTTTATTTCTTCAAATTAAAATATATCATAAAATCTATTTTTTATGTAATTATCATATTAACTTATATCTTTTTTGAGTAATTTGTATATATAAAAAATGTTTCTGATAACAACTATCTAAACACTCTTATTTCTCAGAATTACTTTTCCACAAAATCTATTCTTCATAAAATCTATTCTCTCCATAATCTATTCTTCAGAAACTATTTTTCAAATCATAGTTTGGTTTCATCTAAACACCCCCTTATTTGAGAAACGAAAACATCCACACACAAAATTAAATCTAAAGGTGAAAAAATACTACTGAGGGTACGAGTTTTTCATAACGCCGCTTCATGAGAATCACTTACATTACATTACCCTCGAGAATGAGCATTTTATCATCAAGAAAGAATTAACTGATTCCTTATTAGTTGACTTGACATGACACCAATATCCAAAAGCAGCATAGTAGCTAGGGAAGAGATGAGCTTGTGAGTGGCAAATTGAAACACAAGATACTGATATGACCGTTTCCAATGAATGGCAAGAGTTTCCAAATGCTATATCTTGCATAGTCAAATATTTACATTTGGCAAAACCAACCTATGGAGTATTTTCTTTTTCTAAACTTTTCATGAGATGCTATGTTTCCAAACCCAGAATAGGTCATCCGTTATCCTTCAAGTAGGATCTTTGGTCATTTTCTTCACGGAGCATCGGCACTTAGCTTTCCCATCTTGTTCTGTATATCAGCAAGAGATTCCTTCGTCACTTTTCCTTTAGGACTTTTCTTTTTATCTACAAGCTTTAATTCCAGTCTGTATAATGCGTAACCATCATACTTATTGACCGTATATTCGTACAAATGCCACTCAAGATAACTTAGGGGCTGAGGGTCCATGTAATAGGACCTCTTCTGTCCCTCATATTCCTTCATCACTTGCTTCCTTGATTCATGCCAGCCACGTCCGCTGTAATCGGGGAGTGATCTTTGTTTTCTATTTCCACTATCAAAAGCCCTTCTAGGCTTGTCAAAAAACAGCCATTCCCGCACCGTTTCACCCTTGAAAAGAGAAAGATCAAATAACTCTGCAACAACAGAGAGAAGCCGATAATTCAAACTGAACAACACTGACAACTAATTGCATTGAACAGCACATGGATGGGGGGGGGGGAATTCCGCCACACTTGATCCAAGCAAACCTGATGCTAGAAGCATATAAAAGATAACATGAACAGGTTACACAGAGATACAAAGAATAAGAGTTCATGCAAACTTACCAGGAGCATTCCAGGGGGATTTAGTTGAAGCAGCACCTTCACAATTGGGGATGCCCACCTCCTTACCTAGTGTCTTCGCATTAACAGCAGCGAACAAAGGACCATCCTTAACATCAATGCCCCCAGGACGCAAAATTGGAGTCATGCCGGGAAGACCCTCATTATTTGCCAAAATCTCATGAGAACTGCAGCAGTAGTCCTGGCAACATTTTAACCCTTGAGCTGGCCTAAAGCAATCCCATAAAGCACATTTTGGGCCTAAAAAAGCAGAAGGTGGAGGGCATATATTCGGAAGAATATTAGGCAAAAAATCCTCTCCAGACTGTTGGATATCATCAGCTCCAACAAACACATCGCAATCAAAATCCTCATCTAAAGTAAATTGATCTGGGTCTGTGCTTTTTATGGCTGAATTTTGCCTGCATTCCTGATATATATTGCACAGTTCAATCAAATCAGAGTTATGACCTCCTCTGAAGTAATTTACATCTTGATTCAAACTGAGTTGATGGTTATCCGGTTGAGTAATCATATCTAAGCTATTAACAGCATTTTTTCTGTTTGGAGTTGGAGCAGCGCCTTCATATTGGCAAAAGTCTTCCAGAACATGACCTTGTTGGTTCTCATCAGAACACTTCTGCGATGTACATAGTATCTATTAATAATAGACAAAATCAATAAAGAACAGCAGACAAGTGAAAGATGAACTAGTTAAAGCTTTGAAAGGACAGAAAAGACAAAGTGGAATATTTCTATACGCATATCCTTCTCATATTTCCTTTTCCTTTACCATGATTTTGTTAATATTGTCGTTAAACCTCAACCAACAAATTTCTTTACAAGTTTAAGTCAACAACTCAAATCAAGAAACCTGGCGTCTTAGCCAATGGGTTTGCATGGGTAAGCTATAAGGCCACACAGGCACCCGTTTAGCACTCATCCATTATGCTACAATACAACAAATCACACATTCTTTATGATATTCTTTGACTTAAAAAGAAAAAATTATACAGAAAGCATAACACTAGTTAGCATAATAAGTGATAACAATAAATTTTGTCGTTCTCAAATCAATAATCAGCCAAGCAGTCACTATAAACCATAAAAAGGCCTCTAGAACTATTGAAAAGAACTCACTTCCTGAAATGATGAACGGTTGGTTTCGTTGATGTTATGAAGATCTGGCTCAGTCTTCAATGGCGCACTCTTTGCCAGTTCACTAGTCGCATCGTCTTCCTCCTCAAGCTCTTGCAAAAGCTGGGCCAACTCCTCAGAAAATAATCCAAGATTTCCATCCTAGAAAATACCGACATATATTTTGATATTTACAAATCTTTAAGAGAAGGATAAAGTATCTATCAATGGACAAATATGTTCTCCCCCAAATAAATGACGCGAGTATAAATTTTCACACTTCAGCACTACATGATTGTTTCTTTCATAAGAAGCTTTTCAGCATGTTAATTTTGATGGGGGAGCCTCAAAACAAACAGTTATTAAACTTTACCTAAATTAGATACATACAGCTAAGGAGGAGGCTGGAGATGGCGCGTTCAATTCTGTTTTCCACTCTTGAAGAGTCTGATGCACCAGCTCCTCGTAGATAATTATATCATTAGACCTATTCTCTTCTCTTGCAGATCGAAGCTTGGTAAAGATTCCTTGAAGATCATCAACCAATTGTTTAGCCTTATTTTTCATGGATGGGTCAGAGGAAGATCCATATTTGTTCTTCGAAGTATCGTCCATTGTTCACTTGGTGTAAATTTTAGAAACTCCACTAAATTGCTTTCAAAAAAGAAACGAGACTATTGAACTCGAACCCCTCAATGATCTATTCCAGGAATAAAAATAAACAGTTATTAAGTCATCATACGTTAATTTCACCAAGTTCGAAACTTGAATCAGACACGACAAAGCGACATACGTACAAACAGGATATTCGAGAATCACCTGGAAGAATAGCTTCGGGGAGCGTAGCCAGTACTCCGAATTGGAACAAGATCGTGGGAGATAATGTGCTGTTCCCGGGAAAAAGCAGAGAGTTGCGTACTCCCAACGCCCCGATGCAAATCAAAATTCCCGATGTGTCCCTACTTTGGTCGTTAGGGCGTAGACCCTGTTTTCCGCGAGTCGGTAAGCATTACCCGCCGCCGTTTTGGTGCGATTTTAATTTTATGGGACTCGCACTAGTATATTTATAAAATAATGATGATAATATATTTATCTCTAAGATAAAAATTAACTCTTTTAATTCCGGTAAAAACAATTATTTCTTTTAATTAACAATATCCAAGTCAGCATTTCTAGGTTGGATAATTCATTTTCTTATCATTTTTAATAAAAGTCAATATACTAGTGTTATTACACCAATGTAGATGACGTAAAAATTATGATGAATCATATAATTTGAATTTTCTTACTTTATATTTCATATAAATCATACGGTTCGTATTCTAGCTATAAAATCATTTTTAAAGAATAATTTTTACATTACTTGTCAAAAGTTTAATTTAATAATAATCTTATTCCAAAAAACATGGATTACGCATATCAATTTAGATATTGTAAATTTGATAATTAATTGCAAATAATTAGGGGTGTTTTAAATGCTTGATCTGATTGGTAACTCATTTTTCAGTAAATTTATTTATCCTAACTATCATTAAAATTGATCCTGTTGGATCAAGCTGTCATTCCTTTAAAAATTTCTGGCCTCATCTAACCTCATTGGGCTAAATTGGTTGGATTCTCAATGTGGAATCTGGATGATACAATATGCAACAGATACAAAATAATATTAAATATCACAAATATATGATATAAAATCTCTTCTGCAGATAATCTTAAAATCGATTTATTAAGCATATTAAAATTATATCAATTTTATGTATTTAAAATTGATATTAATATTAATACTATCAACAAAAATAAAACTTACGCAAGACAAAATATTAATCTTCAACTCTCTCAATATACTACCTCTGATCCTAATTATAAGACCTCATTTGTAGTTTACAAATAAAGTCTTATAATTAATATCAGAGGTAATAATATATGTTGCGCAGATTATGATCATTTTCATTTGTCACCGGTCAGTACTTGATGAACGAGCAAGGACTATACGGCTCGTGATTCTGAGTTTTTCAGATAATCAGTGGAGATAATAATTCCCAAAAAAAAGAAAAAGAAAAAAAGCAAAAAAAAAAAACGGGTCAGCGAAAGAAGGATTACACAGGAGGTCAACCAAGTGATGGAATTGGTTGAGAACAAATCCAGTTCAAGGCTCACTGCCCTTGAGAAAAACCCAGGGTAAAGCAGCAAAGTTTCAGGATGAATTTTGCATTTGTGGAGGAGACGATCAAACTCAAATCATTGCAAGCATTAAGAATTCCCCACAAGTATCCTTTAAAAAGAATGTAGTCTTGCGGAGGCTGTTGATCTCCCTGAAAAAAGATGGTAAGAATAAGAACAGAGCGACTAGCCCATTAACAAAAAACTTATGGCCTTCCGCATGATCATGTCATCAAATATAAAAATTACATATGAAATTGCTTGAGCAGAAACTGAATAATATAACAAGACAAAGATACAGCACCCAAAAGAATCAGTAGCAGAGGCATCTGTCTGGTGTGTTTCCAGGCAGAAGAGGTGAAACATAATGGGCGGGATAGTCTTGTAGAGTAAGAAAAGACGATGACAAACTACTAACTAGATAAGACGCAAACTTGAACACATGATTGATGGTATATTTATGAAATAAAGATGAGAAGCCCCTGTACGTTTCTCTGCTGCATCCCCTTGGCATTGGGGCCATAATCAGAGGGGCCTTCCCCTCCCCCTTCCTGTAAAATTAAATTTACTATACCGGAAAGGAAGCAATCACCGCAATGAATAAAGGATTGAAGAACAAGAAAAGATGTATAGTTAAATGGGACTGCCATGAAAAATTTACTCTCCTGCTGTTCAACTAAGATAAATCATATGGGCACCCCTGAGAGCACAAATCGTAGCAGGTGAATGGAAACAAAAGATTGATAACAAAACGGTGGATAATCCAAATGCTTAAACAATGTTGTTTCTAGCAGAATTTGCCACCAGAAAGAAACTTCCGGTGAGAAGTACGAAATTACAAAACGGTCATCAATAAGTTGGCTTTTGGTTATTACGGTTTTGCATATAGTGTTCCACCTGACCAACCCACCCAAACAACCCCCCGGGGGGGCCCCTGAGGGGAGGGAGGACACCAAAAAAAAAAAAAAAAGATAACTCAGCTTGTGAGCATCATGCTGTCACATCCCGCACGTTCAGCCAAATTAGATATGTTCCTAACCAAGAACTACGGCTCAAGTAAAATTAGCTAATACTTACCACATGCTATGCACAGTCCCAATTGCAACAATTAGCTGGGACTTTTTTGTCTGTCTTCACTTGCATGAGTGTGCCTGAAGTTAAGGATGCCAGTTTGTCTCGTCCTCTAGCAAGTTCTTCCAGCTCTTCGAGCTTTTGTTTAAGAAGTTCAACTTCTCTGGCTAGGTTTCATTCCCATCCTTTATAGCCTATAAAGTCATAGGAAGAAAAAACATTTTAGAGTAAAATGTTGTGTCCCCGAACAACTTACATCCCCTTCCTATGGAAGGTAAAAAAGAGATCAATAATGCATCCGATTTTCAGTGTAAAACTTCCACAAGCTCTGACAGATGGTAAAAACAGATGCCAATGGCACCAAATATAAGGATTACAAGGAGACCAATTTGGCTTCAGTAAGTCCTTCATAATCTACCCTCATTAGACAATATACAAAAGTGGGAGAAAGTATCAAGGCCAACCTGCATTCCTGTCTACGTATTTCCTCCTTCCTTGCTTCTGATCTCGAACTTCTTTGCACCTCAAAGATGACAGCAGCTCCTGCAACCTAAATAAAAGGAAACTGAATTTTTATATGTCGTAACTCCTTTTAGAAGAACTTCTGATGAAGATGGGGCTTAAGATAATTTGCACCCAGAAAGAAATTGGCATATATTACTATTCTTGCAAGGATGAATTAAGGCAAATCAAACAGTGATTGTAAGATAACTAAAGCCTATAATCTGACTTGGCAGCTGAGACCAAATTACAGAAAGTACTACTGCTACAAATAATTTCAAGATTTAGTCTGGTTGAAAAAAGGTAAATAAGATAAGGGTTTCAATTAGGTTCCATCTGTCAAAAAACTTCTGAGCAAATGATAGACATACAGACTAAATGAACCTCCTCGTTCACATTTCCTGGTTGATGGTATGTTCAACCACATCTTCATTTGAATTTCCACAACTTCAATGGACAGAAAACTAGTCTCTCCAATCAATACGCTTACTTAAACATCTTGTCCAACGGTTCAATTTCCTCTCTAGGCAAGACAACTACCTCATTGAGGTCTCCTCCATGTAATCATACAATATCTTATGTCCAATGCAAGGGTATGTGCAAGGGTATGAATGAGCTCTTGGCCTTCCTTGAGGGAACCAATTTATGTTTATAGTCAAATACCAGTCAATCCGTGTCCAGAGTTTCACTCCAGCAGCAACTATGAAGTTAACCCATAACTTAAGATTTATACGGCCAACCACCACTTTTATGAGGCCCAAACCAGCACTACAAATATATTGGGTTGAGTGCCTAATCGAACAAGCCACACCTGAAGGGGTCTAAGTAGGGGCAGTATCTAAAAGATTAATATAGTTCACGTAGCCATATGCATAGAGATTGAGTAAGAACATATCGCAAGTCCAAATCCAAATTTAGCTGAACTGAAATCTTCTTCTCTCAATAGAAAAACAAGCAT